CGTGTATTTTCATGCAATGTTTGATACCGCACGGCGAATGAGAAAAAAAACTCAGCATTTCCCGGAAACTTATATGCACTCGGCAGGTAGCGTCAGAAAGCTGCGTGCGTTATTCCGGTCACAAAATCCTACACGAGGTTATAGTTTGGTTGTATTGCTAACTTGTTTACACTCGGTGCAATAGTTTGTTCGATACGAATAAAATACGAACTGAATAAACAAAGAGCACTGGTCGCTCACTTACCAAATCTGTAGAGACAGGACAATCCACAGCAACTAGAGCCGCGTCTTTATTAAGAGAAGACTACAAGCGAATCCGGATCTCAGCGTTTATAGATGAGAACAGCTCTCAGGTAAACAATGTTCCTCCTTAGACACGTAAGTTATTGTTGTCGAGCGTCGCGTACACTGTTAATCCACACGTGAGTCCAGCTGCGCTCTCACAGAGAGAAAATGAAAACAAAACTTAACTGCAGCAAACTATAAAAGCAACACTTTACGCTTGTTTTGCCAACACAACGTGGCGTCTCTGTCGTCTAAACACTACGACAGTAATGCATATTAATGAAGTTGCACAATAGAGCCCGCTGATTGGTTTGAACCAAGCTTTAATCATGCATTAATGCAGCAGGCTGTAAGACATAATAAGACACACTCTGGCACAGACGTCTAGTCTGCACGCTGGAATACAACGCTATTATGTCATGACCGTGATGCAGCTTCAAAAATTCGTTTCAAACCGGAAGTACGAATTTGCTTGAAATAATGCAAAAACAACCAATTTACATTTTTTAGTGAAATATATGTGTCCTAATAGTGTATTTAGCAGTGTGGGACACATATACGACTGTCAACAGCTCAAAAAATGTGTTTTGGTGTTTCGTGACCCTTTAATGTCTCATCCGAAAGCACTGAGCTGTATAGAGTCCCCATCAACATACTGGGTTGTTAAGACCCGCACAGACTGCAGGTTGAGCGCCCCCTGCTGGCCTCTCTAACACTATTTTCCTGCAGCAACCTAGATTTCCCATGCGGTCTCCCATTCAGGTACTGACTGGGCGCAGCCCTGCTTAGCTTCAGCGACTATGTAGAGTTGCAGAGAGCTAACTGCCAGCAAATATATGTGCTGTTAAGTGTTTCAATTTCACCAAAAAGTATACTGGATTAAAAAAATATGTCTGCATGTGCATGTAAAATAATATCATTTGAACAACAACAAAAATAATCATATAATGTGGATTTTCTATGAAGAAGTTGTTACACCACCCTGTTTAGAATGTTATTAAAGAGCCCATATTATACATGAAATAGGGTCATATCTTGGTTGTAATAGTCTCCAACAACAGTCTAATATGCATGCAAGGTCAAAAAACCCTTTCATGGTCTTATAATCTGCATTTATTTTTACCTAATTATTCCAGCGACTCCCGTATGAATCGTCCAGTGATTTATTTGTTCCCAAACCCCTCCTTAGCGCGAAGCTAATCTGCGCTGATTGGACCAATGACAGTCTGTTGCGATTGGTCGACTGCCTTCAGTCAGAGAGTGAAATGCCCAACAGCTAATCAGCAATATAAAAGTAATCATAGTTCATACATGCTCGATAGTGTAGGCGTGGATTTTAGCTGCCAGTGGGTCAATGTAAATGGACTTGAAAATACAGACGACTAACTATTTTATTGAGCAAAAACTCCAAAAACTGTCGAGGAGATCTCCTAGCTTGTCTCACTCTGCTCTTTTCACAGACACACACACAAACACACATATTGCCCTTGTCCTTGCGCACGCACACACACACACCTCCGGACGACAACGCGCGCGCCCACACACACAAACACACACAAGCGCACGCACACACACATGCACGCACACACTACCCTCGTCCACAGAGCTCCGTAAACAAAGCAGTACGCGTCGCACTTTTAAGGTGACTTTGCACGCGATAAGGGAATATAGCCAGTTAACCTGATACAGTACACGCGGTTACAAGTAACAAATCACAACTAAATACATTTGCAAGCTAGAGTAAACGAGGCAACAACTTTAATCGCAGGTACTTACACTTGAGAAATGGAGGAAGAAACCCATCCTGACGTCCATCAGTAATTTACTCTTTACTGATCCTTCCTTTAACAAACGCTGATGAAGTATTCTTTGTAGCATGTAGTTTCCATAAGTTTCCAGTAGTTTCCAACTGCTTGGTTATAATGCTGAGGTTTCATCTTTGGGTAGAGACTCAATAATATCCATCTGCAGTGTGACTTCAATTGACCAGCATGTTTGTGTGTGTGTGTTTGTGTGTATGTGTGTGTCTGAGAGCGGGGCCGCAGGTTTAAAATCTCCCGGGTTGACGCGTGCACATGAATAACTTGGTTTCATTCGTACGTCATGGCGAAACACATAATGACTCTGTATCAAGGCGACTCATTTGAAGCACTATGAGTCGACTCTTTTTTTAGATGAATCAACCGTTTTAAACACTATACTCTTACAGATTTAAGCTTTAGCTGGATACTTCACTTCACTTAGAGCTGTGTTACACACTACATGGAGGGGAATTTTCAAAAACCCATAATATGGGCTCTTTAAACAAACATTTTAACTAACGTGGTTCAAGTGACAGATCTGCAATATGGGTTTGGATAAGCACTTTTGAATGATTTGTTCACTATAGTTACTGAATTGGTTCAACCCACTGACTCAGTGACTTTTATTTTTCAGTTATTAACAAAGAAGCTTCAATTTAGTGAACAACAACCTAAAATGTGTTTTCAGTCCTCACTGTCGTTATATGACGCAGAGTTTGCAAAACACCAATCAAAAATTCACCTTTTGAGTTTCGCTGTAGAATTTTCGGGTAAATTAATCCTTCTTCACATTGGAGGCAGGTAGTGACAGGACTAGCTGTCTAGAAAACTATGCTATCCGCAATGGGAGCTTAAGACGCACGACTCCAGGTGGCGATTTATTCAGCAGAAGTTCAGAGGCGACCGAATTCACCCTAGTCTGCGCTCGCTCACTCAAAGTTAAACCCAGGAGACAAATCAGCCTGCCGCAACCCCTGCCGGTTTTAAACTTGTTGTATATCGCCAAGGATTGAGTCACTTTGGTGCTTGCAGGGCTGTGTGAGATATGACAAGTCTTTGGTAGCTGTTCAGCATTCGTTTGTAATGATAAATCCCCCTCCTCCCTCCTGCTGCCTATTGAAAGTCAGTATAGAACATTGGCTTTGAATTGATGTTGCTCAGGCACCAGAACTCAAAGCAGCAGGACATACTGGGGATGGTTTTTCTGCGATACAGCATGGAATAAACATCAGTTTCCAATTCCTCGATTTGACTACATGGGGAGTCGTATTGGCAGTATTATATATATATTATATATATATATATATATATATATATATATATATATATATATATATATATATATATATATATATATATATATATATATACGGTGTTAAGCATATATGAGTACACCCCTCACAAATCTCCTTTTTAAATTAATATTTTTCTATAGGATGCTTTAAAATGATATATGGGTGCAAATATATTAGATTACTCAGTAACAAAGCCAAATCTGTAGCTAAAAACTTACCATAACAGTTAAAACGTTGTACTCAAATTTACGTTAGGAAAAATAATATAAAAATCTTTAAAAGAGAAAAAAATCTGAATTTTTTTTTTTTTACAATATTCTTCTTAAATTGAAATACATGTTTCTATTTCTTAAGACGTCCATTGATTTAAAATATTATTTTAATAAATATATTTGGTCAAAAATTCTGTTTTGTTTAAATGCACCAAAATATATTGATAATATTTTTTGACATTAATTTATTTATACATATATAGCAAACTGTATGTAATGCACAAACAATGTTCAAATACAGCATTTTTTTCATCCTGTAAGTTCAACAAGTTGTTATTGGGAACAAAGTCTTCATGGGAAATTCTCATGAAATAAGTGTTGGTAGTAGTAGTGCAGTAGGTAGTGCTGTCGTCTCACAGCAAGAAGGTCGCTGGTTCGAGCCTTGGCTGGGTCAGTTGGCTTTTCCCTATGGAGTTTGCATGTTCTCCCAGCATTCATGTGGGTTTCCTCCGGGTGCTCCGGATTCCCCCACAGTCCAAAGACATGCGGTACAGGTGAATTGGGTAGGCTTAATTGGCCGTAGTGTGTGAATGTGTTTGTGGATGTTTCCCAGAGATGGGTTGCAGCTGGAAGGGCATCTGCTGCTTAAAAACTTGCTGGATAAGTTGGTGGTTGATTCCACTGTGGCGACCCTGGATTAATAAAGGGACTAAGCCGACAAGAAAATGAATGAATGAACAAAGCAGCTGCTTTCCATCGCACCAGCAATAAGATCCAATGGACAGCCGATCGCTTTCACTCCATAATGGCAGAATCTGGGGCTGTTGCTGGGCGCTGCTGTTGCAGTGAAACGTTCTATTGAGTGTCGCCTCTTGGTGATTCTAAGCTCTTTGGCTAAGCTAAAGCTGGCAGACTTAAAAAAACGACAAAACTCAACTGTTTAACTTTAGAGTAGTTGTAAAATGAGCCTATGTGTTCTTTTAATGTAACTTATTTGGATTGTTTTGTCTAATTTAATCACCTGCAAGCTAGAAAAAGTATGGTTAGCTACAAAGCTAATGATTCCTCTACAGCTCAGCACAAAAGTAACACAAAATATCTCAATATCTCAACAAATGATGTGACCCAGTTCATCTTTAGGGTGATTTGTGAATGGCTTTAAAAGATCTAAATGGCTTCTCAGTGTCGCAATATAAAAACAGTATCAGCTGAGGAAGGAAATGACTGCCTGCTCCAGCTGAGAAGCTTACCACTGTATTTAGTGGATTGTGGGAAGCAATGAATCGGTGCTTCTTATATTAACACACCGACCCATAATTGGCTAATTATAGCAGTTGTTCCGCTGGTGTTTAAAGCGTGCCAGAGAAGCGTGTTTTGACTGGGTTTTCTCCTTCTATCTCCTCCAGATCCCAACGCTCTGACGCAGCACGGCCCCGACCACGCGCTCATCGGCGGAGTGGTGGCCGTGGTGGTCTTCATCACCCTGTGCTTCATCATCGTCTTGGGCCGATATCTGGCCAGGCACAAAGGTACGCCTTCCCTCCCCCCCTCTCTCTCGTCCCCCTCTCACCTAAAGTGTGCAAAATGCTTCAACATGTCCACTGTTGTACCTTATGTGTCTATGTGACCTATGTGGGACTGTGTGGACAGGGACATACTTAACCAATGAGGCCAAAGGAGCGGAGGACGCCCCTGACGCAGACACTGCCATCATCAATGCGGAGGGGAACCACGCACATGCAGAGGAAAAGAAAGAGTACTTCATTTAGCACCTCTGTTTTTTCTGTTCAGTATTGTCACGGCAACACTGCGATCCAGCAGAGGAGGCGTTCTAGCGCTCCGCTCCCTCACAGCACTAGTCTGGTCTGGCTTTCTCTCTCTTTTTTGTCTCCTCGACTCCTTTTGGAGTCATTTTGCCAGTCTCTTTGAGGCCAAATTGGATGTGCCGCCTGCTGCAAAAGAATGTTGCCATTTTTTAAAAAAACAAAACAAAACAAAACAAATCTTAATCATTCAAACAAAAAAACGAACGTTAAAAAAAGATAAAGATATCAGTTGAGTTTGTAACTGTAACACCAGGTCCATTTAGGCCAAAAAAACCCTATCCCATCCTTCCAAAATGCCCCCCCGTTTGATTTGCCGAGTGCCAAAATATACAGACATGTGCTTGTTATGTTTGTTGCTGTGTTTATTTATTGAATTTCCCAGTGAATACTGATTTCTCAACCACCCTCACTGTGCCTGTTATATACCTTTTTACAGATATTACCAGGGAGCGGCAAGAAATGTGGTTCATCTCAAGTCGGAAAACCTTGGCTTTGCCAATAATTACGCTTTAAGACAAGAATATGTGAGATGTATAATGTAAATATCATGTACTGTCTGTTCTTGTGTGCGTGTCTGTTGTTTTCCATTGTATAAGTGGGTGATTTTTATCAGCTGCCCCCTCGACCCTAGAATTAAGAATGTGGCCAAGACATACGGACAATTCTATTCAATTGTACGGACACCCGAAAAACAAGACGGCAGATTGAAAATGGCAGGAACTCGATGAAGCACAAATGAGAATTGGTGTGTGACCATTAGAAGAGAGATCATTTTCTATTTCCGTCATACCTGTCTGTATATTCTTGCACTGTTAATACCCTCCCCCACCCTTGAGCGTTTGTTTCAGACCTGAAAATGTATCAAACGTAAGCACAAAGTCATTGTAAAATGTCATTGGTTTAGACAGTCTCAGGATGAAAAAGAAGAGCCTAATTCAATTTGTCTTTTATCACTTGAGTGAATGATGAGTTTTTGTTCTCACTTTGTCAATCGATCTGAATGGAGGAGTGTTTCATTTGGATTGGCTGACTGACCCTTGTTAATACTGCTGTATATTACTTTGCTAAAGTGACTCTTGGTGGAATATTGTTAAACTATAGGATCCCATATATATACATACACACACATATCTATATATATGAGAAAACAAATGTCAAAAATATCTATTTGGAGTGTCCCATACTTTTAGTTCATATAGGTGAAGAACATATTTGTTTGTTATTTTGCTTTTGTCCCAACCCAGGGAATGTATATAATGTGTATATTTCAGCATTTAGTACGCTGTTTATTTAATTGAATTTGAAAACCTTTACTGCTCTGTTTTGTGTGCGACTCCATTTTAGCTTCTCGATACTACTGTATGTCCCGACAGAAACTTGTCATAATACTAATTTATTGGGTAAATCTGATGGACAAACACAATACATTACTATTAGTGCTTTTTCTAAGCTCGTGAACAGATAGGATCGTTTGTTCATGAGAAGGTCAGAACAACAATCACCATTATTGCCTTTGTGTTTGCAACAAAACATATGACGACCATACATTGAAGCTCTGGAGAACGCGTATCCTTCAATGTACGTTTTTACGAAACATCTTTCCAGTGTTCATACTTTATTTCACTCTTTATAACATCAACTAGAACTGAGACATTTTTCTAAGACCTTTTGAGTTGCGTTTTTTTTTTTTTTTTTTTTTTGGTTTTGCTGTATGGGGAAATGTGTGAGGTTGCTTTTACATTAAATATCCAACTTTTTCAAACTATGCCTCTGTAAGAAAAGAAAAACTCAGAATACTGAGTAAAATATGCACAAACTCAGATTTGTTTCCTTCTTCCTGCAACACTTTAGTGTATCTGAATGAAGAACATTCTATCTATCTATCTATCTATCTATCTATCTATCTATCTATCTATCTATCTATCTATCTATCTATCTATCTATCTGTCTGTCTGTCTGTCTGTCTGTCTGTCTGTCTGTCTGTCTGTCTGTCTGTCTGTCTGTCTGTCTATCTTTCTGTCTGTCTGTCTGTCTGTCTGTCTGTCTGTCTGTCTGTCTGTCTGTCTATCTATCTATCTATCTATCTATCATTGACTTCAACTATAACCTCATTTGATGGTGTATAAATACACAGGGCTCTATTTTAACAATCTAGGCACAAAGTCTAAAGCGCAGGGCGCAAAAGCATTAAGGGAGTGTCTGAATTCCCTTTTGCTATATTACGGACGTACAAATACGCTCTGCGCCACTGCGCATGGTCTAACAGGGTTATGTTTATTCGCTTAATGAATTATGAGTGTGTTTTGAGAATAAACCAATCAGAGTCTCGTCTCTCATTCCCAGTCAGTCAGTTGCGTCGTGACATGGCTCATTTGCTATTTACATGGCGGACTTTGAACGCTTCACTAGCGAGGAAACAGTTAAACAGACCATCTGCAGCATGAGGATAAAGAACTAGCCTTCTCCAATCGGGCTTTACTTTCACTTTCTCTCTCTCTTTTGTGGATAAAAAAAGTACACTCAACTGAAGACATCGATTAGCCTACATTCTTAATTTTGTTTCTTACGTGCAATGATTTGTTTCAAAACTTTATTAAAATCTGTACTAATTTCCAGCAAACAAATAAATGAACAATAATAAGGAAGTTTGGCTATATCTAAAACACATGTCCTATGCCCAATATGGTCCAAAACCTGACAGGTGGACAAATCTATAAGCTTGTGTTTAATAAAACTAATATTAATATGCATATAATAATTAATAATAATAATAACAATAATACTTATACTAATAATAACATTATACAAAAGCAAGTTGTCGGGAATAAACTAAAAAAAGATGAGAGATGAAGAAGGCATGAAGGCAGTGTGTTTTTATATTTATGTAGAAAATAATAATTTTTGTAATATTTTAATCCTTTAATCCTTTTCCATTTGTAAAGTTATTTGTGTATTGCTCTACATCATGTGTGTATTAAGCAATGTGTAAGCGAGGCGCAAAACGAACTTGCTCTGCGCTGGACTTTAGACCTGCTTTCAGCTGGTCTATTGCACAATATATTTTAGTTCCTCAAAATAGCAATGTGACAACAATGCGCCTTAACACACCTCTTTTCTAGACTGGAACGCCCATGAGTTCACAAAGTGGTGCAAATGGATTTGCAATTTAAACAACGCGGCAAAAAAACTGGAAAATTAAGGTTGCGCTGGTCTGAAAATAGCAATCTGTCAGGGCAAACCCATCTTGCACCTTATTGCGTCGGGTGTATGATAGAACCCACAGTCTTTGTTTTTGTTTGCTCCATGTAGTTCTGAGAGCTGAGATGCATATTTTGACATCAAGGTAAGTGCATAAAGATCACTCTCTTACACACACACACACACACACACACACACACACACACACACTTTAGTTTGCTTTTATACTTCATTTAAAATCCAGAAACTAAGCTTTTATTGCACAGTCTAAAGAGTTAATGGTGCCAACTGATGATCAACCTAATAAATTACAAGCTTGACCTCTTCCCAACAGGGAAAACCACCAACAATCAAAAATGCATGTTTATATAGTGTCATGGTTTTGTAATCAATGAAATGTGGTTATAATAAAAGTCAATGGGGCAAAAACAGCCAATAACAGCAAATTAGGGAGAAAAAGGTACACATTTTGTGTGTCTGTTTTTCACCAAATCAGTGATATCATTTAAAAATTTGGCAATTAAGGAGTTAAAATCCTGTAGTTTATAAGCATATCAGTAGTTTTGATCAGGACTGAGATTGATTAACAGATTTATAAAAAAATATAGAAAAATATTTATCAGGTGCATTTTTACAGCAGTTTAATTTAGGGGATGTTTTCATCCTGAACATAACAAAAAGTTGGTAAATTTGAGTGTATTGTTGAGTTTTCAAACAAAAACATTCAAAGCTTTTTCTCAAAATATGTGTCAAAATAAGATTTGTCACCTAAAATCATTCTGCTAGCTGAAACAAAGGAAAAGTTATGGCGAATTTAAGACAGAAAATCACCCCAGAATAGTTGAAAACATCCTCAACAGCGCATACAGTAACGGTTAAGCAATATTTTTTATCGATGGTCTACAGAACAAACCACTGTTTTACAAAGAATTACCCAATTACCATAACTTCTTAACCCATTTAACCTAGTTAAGCTAAAACTGCACTTTAAGCTGAATACTAGTGTCTTAGAAAAATCTAGTAAAATATTATGTACTGTCATCATGGCAAAGATAAAATAAATCAGTTATTAAAAATGAGTTATTAAAACTATTATGTTTAGAAATGTGGTGAATAAATCTTTCCATAAACAGAAATTGGGGGGGAAACATAAAGAGAGGGGCTAATAATTCAGGGGGGTATATTTCTGACTTCAACTGTATATATATATATATATATATATATATACATACACTTTTTTCTACTTATATATTACACAGTCTTATTTTGCATTATAGTATTTGTTTAATACATGAGTAAATCAGGTCCTTGATCTGCAATGATGAAATAATCTTGCCACATATTTTGAAGTGCTCTTGTTTGACGGCTACATGCTGCCCTCATGAGCCTGATGCATTAAGTGCATGAGTGTGTACAAGAGCAGCTTCCCTCTCTCAAAGCTTTGTTTATTGTCTCCAACTTTAAGTGGCTTTCCGCTGAAACTTTCAAATCCTGCCCTTCTTTCCACTGTAGCAGCATCACGACAGCTTTACGTAATCCATAGTGCGGGTTGGCAGAGAAATTACAGCAAAGGATTTGGAGAGATCAAAGAAACGGGCAAGGAGCAATGCAGTGTGTTCAGCCTTAAATCTAGACTGAGGCTTAAGAGAATAACCCGCACAAAACCATTACTTTTCTCTCTGCACTCACAACAAAGATGATGCTGTATCTTTAAATATGAGTTAATACTTTAGTGGATGGAAATAGCTATTAAAACTATATATATATATATATATATATATACAGTTGAAATCAGAACTATTAGCCCCCCTGACTTATTAGCGCCCCTTTTTATTTTTTCCCCAATTTCTGTTTAATGGAGGGAAGATTGTTTCAGCACATTTCTAAGCAGTATAGTTTTAGAAACCTATTTCTAATAACTGATTTATTTTATCTTTATTATGATGACAGTAAATAATATTTTACTTGATTTTTTTCCAAAACACTTCTTTACAGCTTAAAGTGACATTTAAAGGCTTAACTAGGTTAACAAGGTGAACTAGGCAGGTTAGGGTAATTAGGCAAGTTATTGTATAACAATGGTTTTTTCAGTAGACTATCGAAAAAAAAAGTTAGCTTAAAGGGGCTAATAATTTTGTCCCAAAATTGGGTTTTTAAAAAATTAAAAACTGCTTTTATTCTAGCCGAAATAAAACAAATAAGACTTTCTCCAGAAGAAAAAATATTATCAGACATACTGTGAAAATTTCCTTGCTCTGTTAAACATAATTTGGGAAATATTAAAAATATGATATGATTTTTTATTTTATTTTTTTTTTTCTTTCTTAATGTGTTATACCTTTTCTATGGCCAATAATGTTTAAACTACCCAATAGCAATAAGTTAATTTAAACATAAGGTCTCCAGTAAGTCCCAGGGGTTGCAAGACGCTTGGCGATTTCCAAAAATCTAATTCATTTTACTATTAGAATTACCATATTTTATCCATAACCTACTGAAGAACAAAATAGTTAATAGTTACATTGTTAACATGCTAATGAGACACATCAAAAAACAACATGCAAATAAAAAGCCATCAACCTTTCCATTTAAAGGGCCATGAAACTCCCTCATTTCAGCAGGGTGTTTTCACACCTCTACTTTGGAAAAAGTCAGAAAAGTGGGCGTGTCAAGCTGTTTAGGGGGGAGTGTCGGAGGAAGAAAAGAGGCATGGTGTGGGAGAGTCTATTTGGGCGCGCTAAGTTTCAGAGTTAAAGCCCATACCCACAGGGGACAAAGTGACTGTGTTTACATGGACATCTGTAATCGAATTATTTGCCAAATTATTAAATGGTGGACTTTAACTGCAGTTTAGCTCTTTCATTCAGGGAATTCATTAATGTCCCTCGCGACAAGCGAGATGTTTGATTAGAGGAACTGCTCAAAGCGTGTATTTTTCATGCAATGTTTGATACCGCACGGCGAATGAGAGAGAAAAAAAACCTCAGCATTTTCCAGAAACTTAGATGCACTCGGCAGGTAGCGTCAGAAAGTCGCGTGTGTTATTCCGGTCACAAAATGCAGTGAAAATCCTACACAAGGTTAAAGTTTGGTTGTAGTGCTAACATGTTTACACTCGGTGCAATTGTCAGTTCGATTCGAACAAACTGAATAAACAAAGAGCGCTGGTCGCTCACTTACCAAATCTGTAGAGACAGGACAATCACCAGCAACTACAGCCGCGTCTTTATTAAGAGAAGACTACAAGCGAATCCGGATCTCAGCGTTTGCAGATGAGAACAGCTCTCAGGTAAACAATGTTCCTCCTTACACACGTAAGTTATTGATGTCGAGCGTCGCGTACACTGTTAATCCACACGTGAGTCCAGCTGCGCTCTCACAGAGAGAAAATGAAAACAAAACTTAACTGCAGCAAACTATAAAAGCAACACTTCACGCTTGTTTTGCCAATACAACGTGGCGTCTCTGTCGTCTAAACACAATGACAGTAATGAATATTAATGAAGTTGCACAATAGAGCGCACTGATTGGTTTGAACCAAGCCTTACTCATGCATTAATGCATCACACTGTAAGACGTAATAAGACACACTCTGGCACAGACGTCTAGTCTGCAAGCTGGAAT